TAACGGCTATGAAAACAGTTAGATGCTTAAAAGTATAGTCAATGAACATTACAGACAAATAAAAGGCGAAAATTGAGCCTACTTAAGTTTGGCTGGTGTCCGTGACAATCAGATCATGTGACAAACAATTTTGATAGTGAAATGATTTGCTACGTTAATTTTTGTCGAAAAATATCATTAAATCATGCAGTTCGTACATGGAACGATGTCTTTAAAATTAATATTTTAGTGGTTACTGTTATTTTCTTTAATATGATTAAACAGGAATTTAGTTAAAGAGCTGATCGTTTTTGTTATAATGGTTCAACAATAGATAATAATTACTTTATTGTGAACGAAATTATAAATGGCCACTTTCAATGGGTTTCAGACAGTGGATGCTATTAAATTGGTATCAAATTCGCTTTACTTTTAGTCCAAATAAGACTGCGTATAACTTTATTGTCAGTTGTTTTATCGGCAGTCTCCGTGAGTGGGCCATATATTTTAAGAAAATCTAGTCCTGTTTGGCCATATTATAGCGTTTAACGACGATACGAAGGGCATTTTCTAATCCATCCAATATCTAAGCCATTGGATAGCACAAAGTGTTAATTATGGGCTTGGATTGTGAATAAAAATGTCAAAAATATAATTTGATGTAACGTTTTAAGCCAAAAAAATAAGAAATATTTACGAAACATGTCCCTGATTATTTATATGTTAATGTATTTCTAAATAGCCCCTCCATGTACTCTATCATGTGATGTAAATGGTGATTTAATATCAAGTGGTACAGAATGTAGATGTCAATGTAGAAATGGTTATACAGGAACAAACTGTCAAACACGTTAGTTATATATGATGTATCTCGGTGGTGGTTTAATAATTTGCTATGCAGAAAGAAAAAAACCAAACTATTTATTTCTGTTGGTGGTGGTTTGTTCTTGAAAGTGAAACGATGGAACTGTTTAGTAATCTGCTTACTTATGTCGTTAATAGTTAATTTATGTTGAGGCTACGTTAGTTCTGATTATTTATATGAGAAACCTTTAGAATTGACTGTGTATATTTTACATTTAGTCAAACATGCTTTTAACTTTTGTAATATTAATTATTTTTCCTTAACAGCGCCTCCCTGTACTTTATCGTGTGGTGACAATGGAGATTTAATATCAACAAATACTGAATGTAGGTGCCAATGTAGAAATGGATACACGGGAACAACTTGTCTATTAGGTTGGTTTTCTTTACCCCTAAATTAGAAATTTTGTGGAAACTCTACACGTCACAATTTGTATCCGATTTTGACAAAACTTTAAATATATACTCTTCAAAAAAGGTAGAGGATATTCAGATGCAAATACGTATGTAGGTTGTGAAATGATAAATAGTCATGGACACTTGACATGCTTTGAGAGTATGTTCACAGATGAAGAACTTATCGCCCCAACAGAACCACTGAGCTGCACATGCGCCACGCAATAGCGCCATAAACGTGGGAGGGGTTCATTGTCAAATTTGACACTTCAAGAAATGGTTGATGAAAACTGCCACGTGCTGGTTTATCCTTTCCATGTTTGCTTTCCTATCGGTTCTTGCATACGATTTACTGTTTAGCGAATCTTTGCTTTAGTGTGTTACGTTTAATTTGATCGGGAGACGTGTTCGTCGACGTCAACGTCAACCGACAACACTGCAAGAATTGGTCCTGGCACTGCAAAAGGAGTGGGTCAGATTGCCCCAAATATCACCTACTTTTTCTGAAGAGTATATATTCATATCCTACCCATCTCGGTTCCTTTCGAAGTATTTAGCTTTTGGACTCCATAGAAATTGCAGTGTCTTTCATTTTAAAAACCATTCAAATATATGACCATTTTATGAAACTTGGACCGATACTTCCCATCAAAATGGCCACTCCCCATTATGCAAATAGTGGATACGTTGGGTTTTTGGACCCTCTAGATTTAGATGGAACTGGAAATATGAGTTAAGGATCAAATGATTTTGGATGAGTTCGATTTTGATGTGAATCAGACCTTCCGTTCTGTAATAATGCCCCCATGCCTTTTACGAAAACTATGAAATATGTACAAAGTTTGTGGAGCCTGCATGTACCACAATGTTTGTCCTATTCTGATGAAACTTAACATATAAATGCATCTTTAAAAAGTGTGTTAAGAATCAAGAGATCTCGGATTAGTTTGATTTTGGTGTGCATCGGATCTTACGATCTGGAATTATGCCCGCCTTTCTGAAAATCTATGAACGCGATAAAGGCTATATTTTTTAAACAGATTATTTTAAAATTTGGTTTGGAGCATTAGGGTTATTAGAGAACTAACTTTATCGATAGTCACATTTGTTTGTGGGCAATATAGAGATCACAATTTTTATCCGATTTTAATGAACTTTAAAATACATGTCGGATGAGGTAGATTTGTCTGCGCAGCAGATAGCAATTTCTTGGGTTTTGACCCCTTACATTTTACGTATAATTTTGAAATAGGCACGAAGGTTCTGGCCACAATTTTTGGTTAGATTCAAATGAATCATTCAAATTATTATTTCCTACTTTGCTTTGTTTCGTAATTACCAATTTTTATTTGTTTATTTTGTTTTGTGGAATTTGTGATATATGTCTTTTATTTTATACAATCAGCACCTCCATGTGACCTTAATTGTGAAAGTAATGGTGATTTAATTCAGTCTAATTCCGGGTGTACGTGCCAATGTAGGAATAACTATGTTGGAGCCAGATGTGAAATTGGCAAGTTTTACTGAATAATAATTAAACCCATCAATTCTTAAAATTTAAACGAAAGTTAAATATATTCAATGTGCCCTTCACGTTAAATATTGTCTATGAAGCATATAATCTATGAAAACTAAATAATTTATTATGATAAAGCAAAGCACAGGGTTAATAAGAGATCTGTCATATTTACATGATGTTAATTAATGTCATACATTTCTTATCAATTTAGATATAGAATATATGAAAACTAATTAATTAATTACATTAAAGCAAAGCACCAGTTTAATAAAGAGTTCTATTAAGGTGTGTCAAGTCATATTTACATGATATTAATCAATATCATACATTTCCCATCTATTTACAGCGCCAACATTAGAATGCAGACGTACGTGTAAAAATGATGGTGTATTAAATAGTGTGGCCTGTACCTGTTCCTGTCCTGCTGGTTACTCCGGTTTAAGTTGTGAAGTCGGCAAGTTATATGCTTTTATATAATGAAGGCTAATGATAATGATAATAAAAGATATCTATTGTGTTTATATAATAAGTCAATAATAATAATAAAACATATGTACCTGATTTATATAATAAATTATAATAATAAAACATATCCAACTAATTTATACAATAGAGGATGATAATAATAAAATATACCCTACTATTTTATATAATAAATCACAGTAATAATAATAAAACGTGTCAAACTACTTCATATAATACATGCTAATAATAATAAAACGTGTCTACGTAGTTTATATAATAATAATAATAATATTAATAATAATAATAATAATAATAATAAAATAAATGATAATTACAATAAAACTTATCTAAATATTTTATATCACAAATAATAATAAAACATGTCTAACTATTTTATATAATACATGATAATAATAATAAAACAACGTGTCTACGTAGTTTATATAATAATGATAATAATAATAAATAATAAATAATAATAATAACAAAATAAAATAATAAATAAAATGATAATTCTAATAAAATTTATCTAATTATTTCATATAATAAATGATAATAGTAATAATAAAACATATCTAACTATTCTATATAATAAATGATAATTATAATAAAATATATTTAACTATATATAAGATAATAAATGATGAAAATAATGACGTATACAATAAATGATAATAATAAAAAAACATATTTAAATATTTTATATAATAAAAGATAATGAGAAAACATGACTAACTATTTTATATAATACGTCATAATTATAATAAAACATGTCTAACTATTTTATATAATAAATGATGAAAATAATGATTTATACAATAAATGATATTGATAATAAAACATATCTAAATATTTTATATAATAATAAAACTCAGATGTCTAGTTAATGGCTATTTTAAGAACGCTTACTCATATCTTGTCTTTAATTTTGTCGAGGGTTTGAAGAAAGAAATTTTATCAAAAATTTTCTGAAATATACCTTTAAATAATAATCTAAATAAAATCTAAATATTTACTGACTGATTTTTTGTTTAGGTACACTACGCGACGACATAGGCGATTTCGGTCGCCGACGATGAAAAAAAAAAAAAAAAAAAAAATCGCCGTACTCTGGTCTCATCCTCATGTAGCATCCCCTTTTTTCTATACAAGAGTCTCCCAATTTGAGCTCGTTACTACTATTATAACCACACTGCGCTAGACTGGTGTTGTAGGAAGACGACTACACCGCCTCCTCATCACTATGTATAAAACCAATATTAATTTAAGTATTCGACGGCTGACGACGAAATTGCGTTTCGTCACATGGCGAAACACGCGACAGCTTGTATTTTGTGCCATTGCCAAAGTCGTCGCGTAGTGTGCTACCTCAACTGAAATTGAGGCGATTGCATAAATTGTCTCGTAGTGTGCGCCAGGCTTAAGTAAAAGTAATAAGTACATTCATGGCTAATATAATAAACAATCAATAATCTTTCAGCTCCACCCAATACTTGTGGATTTTCATGCGCTAATGGTGGCAAGCTAAGATCAACTGAATGTCAATGTGACTGTCCCGACAGATATACTGGTTTCAGTTGCGGTGTCGGCAAGTCCAATTAAATCTAATTTGTGTTCTTCTATTTGAAATTTGTGTCTATCTAGTTGTACGATTTACTGGTGCTTGGGTTTCTAACATTTCTATGACTGTGTAAAACCAATCTGATTAAAACATAGATCCTATTTCGTTTCTTTTTTTTATAGTTCAAAATTTCGTTTAACTTGTCTTCACAATACTGGGATCTGATGTGAGAGATTAGCCATTAAAAAGGTGCCCGGAACTGTGGTTAAACCTCTAGAAACGTCAACGCTGTTTGATTAATCAATGTCTGACTCATAGGGTCAAAAGCGGCTCGTATGACCCCTGACGCGAACTTCCACTACAACGGCCAGATCTTCATGTATTGTAGGCTATCCATAGTATAAAAAAAGAAACGAAACATAGATCTGTATTTAAATCAGACTGGTGTAAAACTAAACAGAAAACCGGGGCTAATGGTTTAATCTAAATTCACAATTTCCGTATCCCTTATATGGTTTGTTTGTGATGTAACTTTTTTTTTCATTTTTATTTCACAGCACAGCGCAATATACGTGCAGAGCTGGTTGTGTGGATTACATTAGTGTTATGCTATGCTTAAGGTTCTTTTGCAAGATTTTTCTTAAATAAATAAATTCTAACCCCATGTTATGTGTTCGTGTTTGATTTAAAAAAAAAGTGGTAGCGTTTTCATTATTTAATGCAGGAAGTTCCGGTCTCCAAGCCGATTTTTTTTTATATGTTTTGAGTAAAGTCCGCGAGGGGTATGTTTCCCATTTTCTTTATCAGACGCTTGAGGTCCAATACCGAACAGTTTTGTTTAGAATAGATGTTATTATCAACTTATTGTTTTTAACTATCATATATTTATATAAACCATTTCTTCTAATTTTGGTCACTATTGCTTTCATTAATTCAAAAACATCTTAGATAAATTAATAACAAATTTAACTAGGTTATAGAATGCATTTGCCTAGTTATACTGCTTTCTGGGATAAGAATACCTAAAGCTTCAGTTTAATCTAGTTCAAATGCGAATACAGTGCATTTTCTTTTATTTTGTATAGTAACAATGATTTATATATTTGCACAAAGTGAATATGTATCATAGTGTTTTAAAACTCAGTTTCAGAAAGAAGTTGGCAACCAAAAGGATATTTGTTTACAATATTGTACTCGCTGTTTCCGTTATGCCAAACAATTAATTTTGTGAGAAAGGCTTGAATAGTTACCTTTATAATTTAATAATTTTACAGACCTGTGTAGCACAAGAGATCACCCATGGTGTACGTATATAAATATTGGTCAACCATCAACATGTAATGACGGCCTGAAGCGTTTCTGTCCTACAAAATGTGGATTGTGTGGCGAACAACAAGGTAAAATTTCTAAGTCAATAATCAATAACCCCCCACAGGAAATATCGACCAAACTAGCTCTGATTAGAAAAGGTTCACAAAGTCACCACTAACAGACCAGAGAAGAGCACATGCGTTTGTAGTAAATTCTCTATAGTCTAGACGGGTCGTTAAATTTGAATTCTTACTGAAACCCGACTGCTTCTGTGATTGACTGACCTACGGCCTTGTAATAACTGCGGTCATAGGGATTGCTTCAACTGATTTATATATCGTTTCATTTTTTATACTTTCGATGACCTTATCAACATGGTCTCAATATTGTTCAGACAATATATTGTTTTATATTTGCAAATTCAAAATAAAGTGTTGAATTGGGTTGGTCGGGTTTTTAATTTCAATTAATGATGGGACAAGCTGTTTCATACTCAATTTGGAGGAAAGCGGCTTGTTTACTAAATTTAGTTTAATTTTTGGTCTAAACTGGCGACTGTTACACAACTGGTTATTCTTATCATTATCCTTGGGCGTACAATTTTGAACAAAGGAAAATTGTTACATTCCGCCCCAAAAAATCAAATTAAATCCTTAGTGCCATTTTAAGAATTATTTCCACATCGACAATTGCTTGACATCTTAAAATTTGGATAGTTTTAGTTTCAATATAAATATAAATTTTTTGATTTGCAGCTCCCACGTGCCTGATACCTTGTAGAAACGGGGGGCGACTTGACTTTGCCAGGTGTAGATGCATATGTCAGTTTGGCTTCTGGGGCCCCGCTTGTCAGTTACGGCGTCCAACTTAAAAGAATACTATCTTTCCACACCGAGAACTACATCCTATGAATAATGTCAGGCTACATTGCATATCACGTAGAATATGCATCTAGGTCTTCACAAGTTTGTAATTCTCAAAATAAAATGAGAAAACAGAAAGATCTTTTCTTTTTTGGAGACACAGCCAAGTCTTTGTGAATTTGCAATTCTATGAATAGAATCTTTGACATGGAGCACACGAAAAACTCGGTCATTTAATTTCACCTCAAAGCCTAAATCTCTAATTATCCACCCATTTTACGATATCTACCGAAGAACTGTGCACTTTGTGGTAACCTTAAAAAAATATTTGAATGGTTGAACCTATAGTTGAAAGTCTGACAATCTGCATGAATTAATCATTTCCAGGGTCATTTATAAACATTAGCAATAAGACTGGAGGAGGGTAGGGTGGGGGTTGTGATTATGCTGATGTAACAACACTGTTGAGAAGATTTATTTTATTCCTGTATAACACACTATATTCATTGTGTGTAGATAAACTGGACACAAGTTATTAATCGTCAAGGATTGTCTCAAACCATGAATCACATAAATTGGAATAATCAACAAAAGGATGATAATACAATCAAATATTAGGAGCAAAATATAGCATCAGTCGCACCAATCCTTTACATTAAGTAATTGTCACTTTATTTGGGAGCAGAAGCCCCCCCCCCCCCCAAAAAAAAAAAAAAAAAAAAAAAAAAAAAAACAACAAAGAAACAAAAAAACAAAAATCAATTTATTTTTTCTTCGAGTTGTGTAATGATATCTAACAACAGTGTTTGTCCCCTACCATGCAATGAAATAAAACATGTCGCGTAACATTTGCACCAGGCTACTTCTAGGTCCTTTTAATAAAACTTCCCCAAACTGGTAAGATTACTTTTTTTTATCAAAAACTGGCACCTCATTTTCAATTTTTATTGCACGCGGTTTGTATTTTCTATTTATTGATTCCCTCATACCCCGTTAGACCGGGTTGGCGTCCTTACTGCGCTGATCTCAGGGCGCGTCAAGATCGCCATAAGCGTGGTGGAAACGCCAGATATCGTGCTGTGCATGTTTCGAGCATGTTGAAACAAACGTCAAAGTTCTGCGATCTGACCTGGAAAGCTACGAGGACGTGCGCCTATGGCGATCTTATGGGGTTACCCACTGCGGTTTTGGAGTTCTTATGACGACCATGGTTTTCATGTGTGACTGCACAATGATCATCTTGAAATTTTCAAAAATCTAACCAGCTTATATAGTCGCCGTGATCTCGTGGTAGAAACGAACTGTCGCGATACACGTAGAACGCGTGTGGTAAAAAGGCCATGAGCGTGGTTAGAGCGCCGCGGGTTCGCCGATGATCGCCAAGCCAATAGATCTCGTGAGAACGTGGTATAATCGCGCTGTTCGCGGTAAGAACGTGGCTTTTTTCAAGTTTGTAATTTTTAAGACATTTTGTCGCGTTAGGTTCACATTTCTCGGAGACCTTGTGCATTTTCTGGTTGCCGTAGGGTCGCAGCAGCGCAGTAAGGACGCCACCCCGGTCTGACAGGGGTATTTGCCGAGAGGAGCTGGTTTTGCTTATCTTCTGTTAATTTGGTTTCTTTCGTTTGGTGTTGTATCTGGTAAACTTTCCTTTCTTTTTAGTTTTGCATATCAGCTGTCTTTGCGTACTGAAAGCATTGGATTTCTGACTTTGCTTTAGCTTTATTGTGTTACATTACCCTTGTTGCTCGTTGTTTAGTGATTAATGATATGACTTATTCGTATTCTTGTGCGACCCAGAATTTCATTTTTGACACTTTTCTTGCACTTGTTTTATTTATTTTATATACGTTTTATATGATAGTCTGATATATTCAGTATTCGTGTACCATTGCCTTGTATTAAACTTTTTATTGGAAACTTAGGAACCGAAACTTTTGTAATAGCGGACATTCTGATATATTTAGTATTCGTTTTTATTCGAAGGTTACGAACCGAAACTCTTCATTAGTATGGTCGTTTGATTATTGTAGTTTGATAGCTTTCGTAAAATCTTTTTTAAGCAAGCGACGTTGACCACATCTGTAAAATAGGTCTGAAATGTAAGTCTAATCCAGTTTGAACTCGGTCGGTTTTATGCAGATGCATGCAAGTCTTTAATTGCTCATAATTATTTTACACTGTCAAATGAATTGCCTTTTGTACTTCTAGTTTTCTTCTTTTGTGGGATTTCTTGGGGTTTTTTTTAAAATGTTTTTTTTTTGTGGTTGAGATATAATGCCTTGATAATATTATACAGTTTATTCCGTGGTATTTCGGACTGATGCTTGCCTCTATTTAAACGTTAAAGGAGAACCTCAGCCTTGCAGGTTGTTGAAAGCGGTTTGTGCAGGCGCACTGCTTTGTTTGAGAGAGAGAGAGAGAGAGAGAGAGGGGGGGGGGGGGGGTTAACGTCCACTCGACACAAACTAGGTCATTTCGGGACTAACAAATTTTTTAATTCTATTTGAATAATTCGCTTGGCGTAGGGGGTCTTTAGCAGTGGGAGGAAACCGGACGACCCAGAGAAAACCCAAAAGGTTGGACAGGCGACCCTACTGCTTGTCACGTACAACCGGGGAATCGAAACCCCGCCTGTTGACTCAGTGAAAGACCTTATGATACAGCGCGCGCATGTGTTAGCCATTCGCCGCCCCCCCCCCCTCTCACATAGAGAGAGAATACATAGAGAGAGAATATGCAAGGACATTAAATTTTTGTAGGTTTAGTATGAATAATCCATTGAAAAAAAATAGTGTTGAAGATATATGATATACAAATAATGGGATTTGTTTTACTTTTAGGAAAGGGTAATTCCAATTTCATATTTTTGCATCAAATTCCGTTTTCAGGATAGGTAAATGTACGTTTTAATTCGTGCACAAACATAGGCATTATCATTAAGCCTTGTTTTCATGCATCTATTTTTTAAAAAATTAAATCGAGCCATTATGGATTAATTGATACATATCCATATCAATTGAAATATCATGTGTGGTGGATTATTATAGGTTGTGCCATTACTGCCTGTCCAACGGGTGAATATTTTCATCGAGAGAAGTGTACCTGCATTCCCCTGAAAGGTAGAGTTTTTATGCTATTGATACTTTACACATTTTTATGGAAAGAACATCTATAATCACAGATTGCTTTCATTTATGAGAATGGTTTCGTGATAATGTTTTATGTATAGAGAATAAATGACAAATTTTATTTAGATTACATTACAATTTCATTCTTTTCTGACAACAAATTCAGGCAAAGATTCCTCACTTCGACTACGACGAATACCGTCAAATGTGTGTACCGCCGCAAATATCACACACAGCAATTCGTATATTGGTTGGCAGGAAAATAACTTTCACAGCCAGGCAACGAGTTACGACATAGATACTTTTTTTTGTTGTTGTTTCATTGGTTTGTAAAATGATAATTATAGTAAACCAATAACATCTTTCATTTTCTATTTCAGTAAGCTGTGAACAAGACGATAATGCAGTTTGTGAGATATTTTTTCGTGGAGGCTTATTCCCAATAGAGTTCTGTTTTGGTGAAATGGGTTCATCAGTATGTCCAAAATCATGTGGATTTTGTGGTGGTAATATATTTTGTTTAGAGTTAATTTCGTGACAGTCAATAATTTTTATGAATTCTTAGTATAATATAACAACTTTTCGTCTTCAACTGAATTATCAGTGAGGTGAAAATCGACCTTGTATATATCGCTTTCTACTTCAATCAGTTACAAGGATATAAGGATAATTGTGTTTTCCTTTCGTCGTGTCGCTTCCCGTTTCTTCAAATCTTCGTTACGCATCTGCCGTAAAGATCTCTGTGTTAGAATTATATTTGGAATGTGTTTAACCAGTTCTAGAACATATTTAATATTCGCTGACACCAACATTGTCCTTTAAATCCACAGACGTGGCAGTCTATCGACGATTTTGATTTAACCGCTAGCAGACCAATCAAAGCAATCCTCCTAAGTGTGGCAATGATTATTAGCCGATACTGCTCCTTACCATTCTTTATCGAATAAGATCACACGTTTTCTTTGCATATCTGATAAAAAAGCAAAGAAACTATATCTATTTTTAGGCTTGGGTTATCACAGGTCACCAGAGATTACTATTTCTTTTAGCCATAAGTGGGGTTGTATGTAGAAGTTCCGACAAAGTGAACACAATAATCATGCAAGCACAAGAAAATTGGTAAAATTAGTAAAATAGCACAGTTGCCAACCATCCACCTCCTCCCCGAGTCCCATTCCCCTCCAAATAAACCCACTGGTAGAAATGTTCACACGGGGATTTTATAAAGACCACACATAGAAAATCAAAAAGACACAGTAACAGAAATAAACGTAATTGTCTTTCAGCTCCGGCGTGCACTAAAATATGTAAAAATGGAGGTAAATTAAATTTTAATGAGTGTTCATGTGAGTGTCCGTTACCATATGTAGGAATAGAATGTCAAACAGGTTTGTTCTATTTTTGTCTAAATTAACCTTGAATAGGTCCAAAAGTGAATGGATTATACACCCGTTACCATTTTCCTTGCATCGATCAATGAACGCGCACACATTTTAAAGTCTGGGTACAATCAATCAGGAAATTGTAATTATAGTAAAGAGTATCCCCAGTTTCTCCTCAATTTGTATAGCTCTACCTAACATTTATCATGTTTACAGCCTCTGAATATCATTTATGTGATTTCTAATCACTTGCAAACTACAATATTGTAAACTGTGAATTTCAAAAGACGACCAATGGCATTAATTTATTATGTACATTTACATAGATATGTGTTCAAGGCCAGCTGTTATGGCTTGTGGCAGCCTCACGGCAAACCTTTCACCCTCAGCCTGTCCAGAATTTCTACAACCAAAATGTCCCCATCATTGCGGTATTTGCCCTGCACGTAAGTAAGAGATTTTTTTGAGTATATTGTCACGTCTGTTAGATCCAAAAGGATTGTTCAATTTTACATGTATAATGATGGATGTTCAGTCATTTAAAGTATGTTATCTATAATAGGCACCGATTCGATCTTACTGTATACACATTCCACGGGGTGGTGATATAGCGAATTAAAGCTTTTTTTAAAATTACAATGCCAACTTCATAGCATTCTAAAATACGAGTATGGGGCCACACACCAAACCATCTATAAATAGTCCAATATCATAATCTAGATTCTTGCATAAAAAACTTACATTTAATTAATAGACTTGCATCTAACATAATAACACGAAGGAAATAAACTGTTTTTTTTTTTTTTATATATATATATAGTTCTAAAAACAAAAATATATCTATGATCCTACACCCACGTTTACCTTGCAGCTTGTTCCGGCACAATATGTCTACCTGGTGAGATGTTGATAGAAACTGACTGTTCCTGTAAAAATATGGCCGGTATGAAACTTCCACATCATATCATTAACATTATTATAAGTATTTTAAATAGAACTAGACCTGTTCTTGAAACAGGTTTGATAGTTTTTATACAACCCAATCATACTCTTATACATTAAGTTTCACGATTTATTAAACACGCGGTTGCCATGCAATATGCGCCAACATTTTTCAAGAGATGGACAGAGAACAAGCCCCCCCCCCCCCCCAAAAAAAAAACCCCAACCAACCAAAAAACGATTTTTTGTACAATCAGGGGCATAATTCAGGAAGTTACGGTCCGATATGCGTGAATCTACAGGAACCTAGATCTTCGAGATATAAACATATTTTAAGTTTCATCAAAATCAGATAAAAATTGTGACCTCTAGAGGGTCCACAACCTTGGTATTACATATGTTTACCCTATTTGCGTACAAGAAGCGAGCGGCCATACTGCCGGCCAGTTTCGATCCGATTTTTACGAAATTTAAACTCGACTATCATTATGCATTAGGGTGTAACGGTGATATATTTAACCGTTTTTTAAAATCGAATAGAAATTGGCGGTCTACTCGTATTTCGAATTAAAACTGCCAAGGGTTCCCTTTGTTGCACGACAATGTGTACACAGGACCGCAATTTATGTCCCATCTAAACGACTTAACATTGTACCTTGCCAGACCCACCAATCTGCACCAGGGACACGAGGAAAACACGAGGAATTGTCTCGGGCAATACCGGCAGCGAACCTTCTGGTTAGCGAGGTAGCGCCTTACTCACTGAGTCACCACGACTCTTTTGAAACAATAAAAGTAAGATTACATTTTCAAAAAGACTCCAATGTTCGAAACGACACCTGCGAATCTTCTAATACATGTATAATACTATCGTTTTAATTTAAAACAGTGCCACGGGAGAGCTTTAGTTTAAATAGTATTCAATGAAGACGTCATATTTTGATAAACATTTAAATTCAACATAACCAACATTGAAGGTCCTGTGCCATAATCTATTTAATAATTTTTTTTTTTTTTTTTTTAAAAATTGCAAATAACCTTTGTTTATAAACTGATTTTGATAAAACTTTCAGAATAAGCATCAAATGACTCAATTTATTGTTTGTCATTGACATTTTACCTGATTTCAAAGTCTTACACTTTTTAAAAAAAAACCTTCAATTTTATGAAGTCACTTTAAAAAAAAAACCTAGCTCAAATATCAAAATTCTAAAACGATCGATCGATTGCGATTTGTGAATGCTTTCCAAAAATATGAGATATTGAAAATTGGATAAGAATTGTAGGACGAATAGGATTTTGAAGATTGCCTTACATTTTCAAAATGGTGGCACTTCCGGTTAATTTTAACTTGATGAGATTACTCTAAAAAGTTGATAGACGACTCCTACTGACAAATATTTTTTAAATAAGGCAAAATTAAAGAAGTTGAAAATCTTCAAATGCGAGCTAATCGGAAATTGTTTGTTGACATTTTTGGCTTAATCCACCCATTTGTAATGTATTCTGAAAGTTTCAAGTCGAAATATTCAAAAATAAAAAAGTTACGCTCAGAATTTTCACTCTTTTCATATTTGAGCTTAAAATTAGGCCATACACATGCGTCGTATAGGCCACAATCTCTGAAAATACAAACATCTACAAATAGGTGAAAACCGCATTCAAATTGGTTGAAAAACAAGAAAGTTTCCTTTGAAGTCTCATATTTGTCTATTTTCGTTGATGGCATCACTTCCTGAAAACATTTCTAAAGTTTTATTTATTCATTCACCTTTTGAGCTAAATACCTTTGGGATAGTATAGAGTTAAATTCAGTAGTATATGTACTTTTTCCAAAAGAAATGGGGTTTAACGTCCACTCGACACAAACTAGGTCATTTCGGGACTAACATATGGTTTAATTTTATTTACATAATTCGCTTGCGCGTAGGGGTTTTTAGCAGTGGGAGGAAACCGGAGGACCCGGAGAAAACCCACGAGGTTGGACAGGCGACCCTACTCCTTGCCACGTACAACCGGGGATTCGAAACCACGCCAGTCGACTCAATGACAGATTGTATGATATAGCGCGCGCACGCTAACCATTCAGCCATCCAACCCCCCAAAACGCGAGGGAAAAAAAAGAAATAATAATAATAATGATCCGAACAAAAACAATAGTTTTTATACTACGTAGTATAAAGATACATTATGGGAAATTAGATAAATAGGTGACAGTGCTCACTATAATAGTTAAAAACTAGATAATGTAAAGGGAATTTGCTGAAAATTTCAGTCATATTGATCCACTCTGAACCGAGATTTTAGCGATTTAATTTTCGACCTAGCCTAGATCATCATTACTAAAGTCGGTTTTATAAAAAACGTAGTCTCGGTTATCCATTTCATGATTAAATTATGAATGGAAGTCGAACAGGAAATCAGAACCTAATCCAATAAACATCGCAGGCTAGCGATGGCATCGAGGGTTGATTATGGTCTGGATAAGTTAATTAACGTCTAAATAATAATTTAGATAACATTTCAGGACTAAAGAAAGACCTGCAATAGGTAGATTTAGCTCTTGCATAATGTATGTTTAACTAAGTATTTTCTCAGTAAATGATAGGGACGTGGAGAGAAATGTGATCGCTGGGTGGGTGTGAAATATCTTGCAGTATTAATGAAGACAATTCTTATGAGAACAGCTTTTAATACATGTATATCCAAACAAACGGTAAACGCTACAACAGATACTTACATTTTGTTCTCCCTAAAGAGAATTAAATAAATAAATTAAGATCATAATTGCTATTCGTGTGTGTTTTTCGATGGATCTATGTTTTTTTTTAAAAAAAGAAAATAATTGTTGAGAATTATAATAAGATTATTACAAATACAAAAGATATAGATACATGGTTTTATATTTTTATCTAATATTATTTACAGCTGACTGTAGTACTGGTGATCATATTCTATGTCAGTTTTACGTAACTCATTCTGATGTCACACAACAATGTCTTGATTTACCAAGTGGAATAATATGTGCAACAAAATGTGGATATTGTGGTAAGATACTGGTGTTTAATTTCAATTTTAGATACCTTTTAAAAATCTTTAACTAACAGTAATACTTTTATTACAACTATACCTACCATCTCCCGCGCCTCCACATTATTCGCATATCTCAAATGACCATTAATTTAATCTAATTTTTTCAACTTGAGCTTCTGCTACTTTATGAAAGTCGATTGAAACGACGGGATTGTATTAACGGCCTGTGGGATTTTAAATAATCTTAACAAATGCAATATAAAGTAACCCATTATCCGTCTATATAGATCTCATAGATTGATTTCCATTGTTTATTTCAGGATAAACCGTTGACAACTCAGTGATTAAATACTCTCTGTAAAGTCGAAATAATATTATTAAAGAAATTATTTGATATGAAAATAAGCTTTTCTTACCGACGATTGTAAATAAACGAATATATAATTGCAAATATATGTATGTTACTCTTTTTGTGCATGTACATGTATACATGTCTATACCGCTGACCTTCAGTTGTAGCTCCATATGTGAAATCTGTGGACCCTCTAGGTAAGTGGGATCAGCTTGGATTTTCATCGCCTTCTGATGGTCCGTCAGCTGTCAGTTATCGTACCCGAGAGAGCCCTCCCCCCCCCCCTCCCCTCGACGTACCCCCTTTCCAGAAAAAAAATAGTGAAAGCGATACAGGCTACACTTATTAACATATTTATGTCAGTTTGGGGGCAAAGCACAGCGTCAAACCCTATGGATATTGGGCGATTCGTGACCTAAGCAGACCATCCTGCTTAAGACATTGATTAAGCTTTCCGTCTTCATTAGCCCAGTCGTAGCAGAATAGTAGGACGTTAAAACCTCATTTCATTTCATTTGATTAAGCTTATGTTTTGGTGTATGGCGGGATTAGGTCAGATGTTATTAGGTTTTTTTTTTCATTACTGGGCTGCTAAACACCTTAATTTTAATGTCTATTGGCAAGTGAAAGTGGTACAAGTATAATAGGTATATAGAGGGGTTTGATCAAATTCAGGCTAAACGATCAAATGATTTGAAAAAAGTGAATATGTCGTTGACAAGGTAGGTGGATCTGGGAAATATATTTTCATTTTGACAACCCTACATCATTCATTTTAAGGATTTATCTATAGGCCTACAGCTTTGCAATACATAAAAAGTATTGCCATACCAGAAATACTAGACTATTGGGCTACGATAATGATTTAATTTGAAAAATTAGGGTATGTGATATTTAGTCTGTGTGTCAAAAGTAACGTATTGTCTAGAAAGTCAATGTAAGGAAGATAAGCTGTGCGATAGCAGGATCAGGCTGTTAATTCTCTGATCACAATGATTTCAAAGTTAAATCAATGTCATAATTTCTTGACCAAAAACATGTTTTTCAATATTCTGATTCTCTTTGTCTGTATAACCGTACATAGGCCAACTTTAATATTTCGGAGGAGATAATTTGAATGTCTGTTTAACCTGCTGATTATTCGGACTCAAAATCATGAATTTTTTTAACAAAACAAATATAAACAATTTTCTTCTAATCTGGATATAATGTTCGTTCAGCCAAGAGCAGTTAAGGAGGTATTTCTATCAGTACAAACCATGAACTTTATAAGTTATTCTATATAATTATTTAGTTATTCTATTTTACATAATAATCCGTAATTTACAGTCATCTGTGGGTTAACGGCCTTAATCTTTCTTGTAACCCGGATTTCTTTCTTCGTGTTGAATTTTTCTAGTATAACCTCGAGTCGTGCTTTATCCATCGCATACGGATCATGAAAGCGTATATTATAATGTATGGTATCAGTCTCTATATTATACGTGTCTGGAACTAAATACGTGAACAATTATTCAGGTTTCTAATATGTTTCTAGTTAGTAAATGTATATATCTTTTAGTTGTTACGTTCCCAAATCTCTAGAAACTTGCTACTAATATATACTGACGTCCAAAAGAAAGTATACACACTAAAAGTATGACTAAGTTTTGTTTAGATTAAAAACATTTGATAAAGCATTACTGAGTTTGTCGCTTGCGTCCAAACTCAACATTTCTAAGCAAAATAAAAATGTGAAACAAATTGACATTCTACCCTAATACCGTATACCATGGAAAAACGACTTTGGTTGATGCAGCACAAAATGCACAGTGTATACTTTCTTTTGGACGTTAGTATAATATAAACAAACCACCCGTTCCAATATTATTACTGCCTAGAAGAGGATAATAACAACGAAATAAATCTGCCTATAAGCGGGTAAACGGCATCCCGTTTTTACCGTGCGGTAAATTTATGTCCTCCATCATGGGGACATAAAGGCCACCACGGGACAAGTATTTTTTAGGCTCGGTTATCCAGGGAGTTATCTCGACTGTCCCTGGGTTTAAAGCTTCCGTGTGCGCCATTGACCTATGTTTTACGCCAAATATATATTTTTACGTGGCTACCTCACTATGCCTCTAATTCAACATAGAAATAGTAAAAGGCGGATAACATCGTTCAGTAGTGCGGTGGGGGGAGGAAAAGAAGCATTTTAGTAGGCCTGACAAAAGAAGATGGCCATGGCGGCGACAATGAAGTGGAAGTGGACGAAAACCCAAATATAGGCCTAGGTCTTCCAAACCCAGTTTATGTCGAGCATCAGCCTGAAACACACCCGATTCGCCTTTCTTCCATAGAAGGTTGATCTATTAAATTATTGCTGTCCAAAGGGGCCAAATTAACAATTCAGAAAAGAGGTTATTGAATTTCAGTTGAGAAAGTTACAGCCAATCAAAGGGGAGTCATAGGTATAACGTCATTCACTCGGCAAACCTCGGCAGATTCCCGTACAGGAATCTGCTGATGTTTGCCGAATGTAACGTCATTTTTATAGGCTACGGCTCTCATAATAATAATAATAAGAAGAAGAAGACTGATAGTAGACCTATTGATAATACCAGGGGCTACGACTTTGATAATAATAATTATAATAATAATACGAAGAAGACTGATTAAAGGCCTGCTGATAATACTAGGCCCTATAAGGGCTTGCCAGAAATTTGAGCAGAGGAAATTGGGGAGGGGGGGGGGTAATTTTGACCAAAAAAACACCCGATTACACTCTGTAAACACTCACATGCACCCACTTGGAAGGGGCGGGTTACGAGGTAGGGTGTTCTTGAAGTATATGGACCCCGGAGAGTCGCCCGGACCATCAGAAGTCACCCCCTACGACCGGAAGTAGGTGAAATCAAAAGGCCTCAAAGGGTCTCTGGGCCTGACCGGAAGTGGATTCTGAGAGCATATCCTGATTCGCAGGGACAATTATGGGGGGGGGGGGCAGGTCCACTTCCGAGACCCTTGCCACCTTTCCTGAACTTTGACCTGGAAAAAGCAGCTGCAGGGCACTTTTTTGTCTTGTTGGGCTTAATTCCGGACTTGGAGGTCCGAGAGGTCTGAAATTTAGGGCCCTGACCCAGAACCGTCCCACCACCTGGCCCCATATTCTAAATCCCCCAATTGCGGTCCCTTGGGGCTCCGGTGCCCCAAAACTTCCTATTTCAATCTTCATTTTTTCAGTTCTTCCACGGAACTAGTCCTCGCGGCTACCCCCACTAAATCTACTTAGTAATCTGATAGAGCGACCCCACATTTGTTCTTCATATCTCAAAATCGTCAACCAAAAGTCGTGACCTTGATCCTCTAGGCCTCCCGGAAAGTATTTCTCCTTTTTGCCCCACCATCGGCCCCCGGATATGTTGATGCCCCCAGGCCTTGACCTGTGGTCATGTGGGCTGGGCCCACTTGAAGCCAGTAGGTCTAGTTCATGTCAAAGGTTCAAGGTCAGCAAAATATCGTCCGACCTAGGTGCGTTTGGAGTTTGGCCTTCGGTCACGCCACTGGATGGACAATTTATTGACCTTTCAAATTTTACCTTGACCTTGGGGTCGAGAAACTCACAAAAACTTCATGTACCATCTAGACTGTAAGGAAATGGCTCAAAGTCAAGGTCAACGTCTGGGCTCGGAAGGCCTGCCACTATATATGGGCCTTGACCTCGTGTGACCTTTCCCAGGAGATTACGGTCATTCCGTTATCGATATATTTAGATTGGAAGAGCCCCTTTGCACCTGCCTGGAGAAATCATAGCCCTTACCCTAACCCACAATCCACATATGACATCATATGTGCTAAAATGTGCAGGACCATCTCCGATCTAGCCATTGACGTCTATATATGACGTCAATGGATCTAGCGTTCTCCGAAATCCAATTAGCGCACGAGTCGACTTCCGGTAATTCCCCGAAATGTGTTGTGACATCACAGGTGTGAGACCAATGTAAACAAAATGGTGAGTTAAATTTGTAATATATAATAACTCGTCGTTTGAGGATTCCGAAAGGGATGTCATTGAAGACGCCGGCAGGGTTCATCCATATCAATTTGAGCCTTATGCAGCCGCGGACGAGTCAGACAAAGACGACCGTATCAACGACTTGAACAACCACGCAACGACGATCGTCTGGATTCCACAGCAATGAATGGTTAGTTTTATTATACGCCTTCATCGAAATATGGACTTATATTGCCGTCGCCCCCGTCCGTTCATCTGCCCGTCCGTCCTTCGTCAACAATTTCTTGTGAACGCTCTATCGCCAAAAGTTATATGCATTTTCTGTAAGTTACTTCCAGGGTTAAGGCCCTTGTTTCAGTTTGTAGAACCCTGTGACCCCTCAAACGATAAAATTGTAATCTGATCTTTATAAAATTGTCTTGTAAATGCCCAAAATGCGTCAAACCTTGTCCACCGCTCGGACGATTTAGCTGCTGTGGGCGTATGTTTTGTTGCATGGCAACCTATCTTTATTATCTACATTACAATTTATATTTTAACTTTCCTGAATTATCTATAAGTATTATTGTGTTTGTATCAAGTTGAAATTCAAATGTTCTTTTGGCTTTGACATGGTTTCTTTTAAACAATCTAAACACCAGTATAGATTTTGGCCGCTATCGATCTATTCTGAGCTAGGCCTAGTATTTCTTTTCAAATTTATAAAAGACAATTATAAAATATATATATCTAAGCCTAATTGTTAAATGGTATACATGACACATAATTATTATATATTTCTAGATAAGTTACTACTTAGGCCTAGGCCTATATTATCATTGTCAAAATAAAAAAAATTATCATTTTGGGGGGAAAAATCATGGGTTTTTTTTAAATCACATTTTTATAATTTGAATCACATTTTTTCAAATAAACGAATTATTTAATTAAGATTGTATGATATTAGGTTATTCATGAAATTACCTAATTTGTGTTGTTGACCCTAAACATAATATATTAATTTCAAACTTAGAAAAGACAATTAAACAATGTATAAAATACCTAGTTTAATAATTAAATTGTGTAACATACATTTATATAGTTGTAGATA